GCAAGCGACTTGAAGGCACATAAAAACAACAACAACAACAACAACATATTTACTAATTCTAAGTGCAAAAAAACCAAGAAAAAAATACACTCCAATAGCTCTAAGTACACCTAGTGCTCAGACTGTAACACTAAAAAAACGAGAGTTCCTCAGAGAAATGACTGATTCAAGGATTGGGCAGGTACAAAATAAGCCTGGAACATCTTGCTATGACAAGGAAATATCTTCTCTTTAGTGAAGCTTTCACTAAATTTGTTATTATACTACTGTACTGGGAGTTTTACTTTGGATTAAAATATTTGTTGTAAAACTAGCTCTAAAGCAAATTAATAGAATGAAATGGAAAAATACTTTAATCTCACATAAAAAGAACACACTCATCACACTATTAAACCATCTAACAAAACTGCAAAACTCATACAGTTTGTGGCAAGGTTGTGAGGAATTATTGCTGATGGAAATATGTACTGACATATGGAGGCAAATATAGCAATAACTATCAAAATTTAAAATACATATACCTTTTGATGTAGAAATTTTACTTTAATTTTTCCTATAATCTTACATGAATACATAATGATATACGTACAAGACTGTTCACTAGAAATAACCCAAATGTCCATCAACAAAGGCCTGGTTAAATAAATTGGTATATCCATATAATGGAATTCTACGTAGCTGTAAAAAGAGAAGATGAAGATGGTCTCTACATATTAATATAAAAATCTCTAAAATAAATTATTAAAGTAAAACATAAGGTACAAAGTATGTTTATGCTACATGTATATTAAAAAGGAAAATATAAAAACTTCTACTTCTATTTACTAATATGAGAATAAAGAAACGCAGGCAGGACTGATAGAAAGAGTTGAAATGGCTGAAGTGCAAAAGTATTAGGGAGATTTTTTACTATATACTTTTTTCTACTTTTTAAAGCCATGTGAATATACAGCCTACTTTTAAAACAACATTAATAATTTTTTTAATAAAACCCTTTAAGCCCATAGGGAGTTCGGTTGGCCTGTAGGGAGTTGCACTGCAAACCCAAAGGTCAAGCCTCTCTAGTGATTCAAATCCAGTAGTGGTTTCACGAGAGAAAGATGGGCAATCTCCTCCTCTGTTATTTACAGTATCCAAAAAACCTTCTGGCGGGTCAGGTGTGAGGCAGTTCTGACTCAATGGCAATGAGTGAGTTAATTTAAGCACTTCCTCAGGTTACAAGAATTTCAGTTCATAAATGCAGGATCCATGAAAAAATACTTGTACATTTTCTAAGTCACATCAAATTGTTTTCTTTAAATAATGCAATGAAAGACATAGTTTGAAGTAAACAAAAACTGTCAAGACTTAAGTGATCAAGATTGTCTCTATGGAAAGAAATCCCCAGCTACTTTAGACATAGTTTCAAGGACACAACTACATAGAGTGTCTGACCTCAAATGGTACGATATGAGTTCAATCTGCTTTTCACCCATTGCTATCCTTAATTTGTGTATATTGAGTATTTGGCAAGCAGCTCTGATGGCTCTATGGAATAAGTATTACACTGCTAATGGAAAGGTTGGTGATATGAGCCCACCAATCACTCTACAAGAGAAAGAGTAGGCACTCTGCTCCGGTCAAGGTTTACAGCCTTGGAAAAATTCCTGTGTAACAGCTGTACTCTATCTTGTGGGGTCACTGTAAGTCAACAGTGGATTTGCTTTGGTTTAATTTAGAGTATTTAATACTTGTTTTCTAAGTCTATTCACCAGGAAGCAATTTGACTCTTTATACCAGCATTTCTCAAACATGACCAGAGCCGCTTATTGGTGCAGATCAGTGCTCTGCATCAGAAGTGCAGATTAGTGTTCCCCACAGTCAGAATCTCTGAATGTGATAGTAGTAATCCGCATTTTTTAACAAGCTTCCCAAATGATTATTAGGCATTCTAAAAATTCAGTAAAACTGTTCCACCAAGAAGCAGCCCTGGTGGTATGGTGGTTAAAATAAAGTATTTTAACCTCGGCTGGTTATAAATTCAAAGGGTCATAGGTTCAAAATCCCCCTACCACTCCTTAAGAAAAAGATGTTGTAGACTGCCTGCATAAGAAGCCATGGAAATCCTATGGAGTAGTTCTATTCTGTTTTACAGGGTCACTCTGATTTTGAAATAAGCTCTGTAACTCTGGGCTTTTGATTCCACCAAGAATAAATGTTCAAGAGTTATAAATAATTATGATGCTTAGTAATTAGCATATCTCATATATGTCACAAGGACACACTAGCCAGTTTGAAGGGTCACTCTTTGGCCAAATCGGTCTCATTTCAAGATAATAAAGGACTCTGCCTATGTTTTCATCTAGTTCTATTACGATTTTCTTTTCTACACTTAGATCTCCATTTCATATATATTTCATTCTGATGTATGATATGAAACTTTGATCTAATGAACCTTTTCCAAATGACTAGCCAGTTGTACCAACACTGTTTATTTTAAAAAGTCCGTCTATATTCTACTAATATGAGGTGTCACCATTATTTCAAACGAAACTTCATATGTCTTTAAGTCTACTTCTAGAACTTCTATTCTTTTCCATTGTTTTGTCTACTTCCATGATAAAACAAGAATGCAAAGCCTGAGGCTTGATCATAGATTTTAATACCTAATATATCTAACCCCTTTTCAAGGTTCTTCTTTGTCATAAGTATCTGGCTTTTTAAAATTATTTCTTTTCACACAGAGCTTAAAAAATAGCTGTGTAGTATCAAGGAGAAACTGTTAATTTTTATTATGTTCAATTTAAAAATTCAAGGAAAATTTAGGATACTGAGTATATAAAAGAAGATGTTATGCCTTACAATTTTTAAAAATCTACTTTTGTGTCATTCAGAAATATGAAATCTTTGCCTAAAACTTTTACAATCTTTCTTAATAGGCTTATTCTGGGTATTTTATTTTTATTGCTACTATACATATAATCTTTCCTTTGTTTTATCTTTTAAGTAGCTCTTATTTATAAGTATGAAAACAATTTTTGCAAATTGACCTAGCTAAATTTTCCAATTTTTTTCATTTTTTGTTTGGCTAGTATCTCTACTACAAAGTACTATTGAGGGGAGTTGGGGGGGGGCGGGGAGAGGGGTACAACAATGAATGAATGGAATTCCAAAATCTCTGTAGATGTTCATTGAAATGAAAAATAAAGAAATTAAATAAAAAAAGAAAAAGAAAAAAAAAGTACTATTGAAAGTGATTCCTGATTTACTGGTTAGTACAAATCCTGTGTTTCCCTATTATGTATAAGGTGACTGATTATTATCATGTTACAGAAGTATCTACTGATGACATTATTTTCATCCAGTCAAGAGTGCATGCTAAATTTTGTTGAATGCCTTTTCTGTAATGTAGACATGATCATATGAAGTGTGATATAACTTTTAAGATATCCTTGTTATTTAAAAATTGACAACTACTTTCTCATAGACTAAAATTTTAAAAATATTAATTTCAAACATTTATTCCAATTAATCATTTATTCATTGACTTTGCTTATGATCTCTTCATTTTTCTAACCATTCTAAAAATTTCTTCTTAATACATGCTGTCAAGTTGATTCTGACTTTAATCATATAATCATGAGCTTGTGTAGCACAGCATATTATATGTGCTGCACTGCTAGTCAAAAGGTTACTGGTTTTAATTCATCAGCTGCTCTGTGCGAGAAATATGGACAGTGTCTTACCATAAAGATTTACAACCTTAGAAACTCAATGGAAGGTCACTATGAGTATAAATCAAACAAAACGACAGTGGATTAGGTCTGAGGTTTTAAAACTCATATTACAGGGTTTTATTTTAAAATATTATTTAGGGTTATGGAGCTCCAACTCAAAGGCATGCAGTTTGAATCCACCAGCAGCTTGGTGGAGAAAGCTGGGCAATCTCCTCCCATGAGGTTATACTGTCTCTGAAAATCCACTGAAGGGTCAGCTATGCATCAGTTCTGACTCAGCAGTACAAACCAACAATAATAACATGGGGTTATACACACACAAATGGTTGGTGGGTTTGAACTGCCAGTCTTTGAATCAGCAGCCTGGTGCTTAATCACTCTGCTCCCACAGCTCCCCTTTCTTCTTCTCTTTAACTCAGTATTTCAGAGTTGGCTCTGACTCACAGCAACCTTATAGAAAAGAGTAGAACTGCCCTTTAGGGTTTCTAAGGCTGTAAATTGTAGCAACTGCTTCATCTTTCTCCCACAGAGAAGCTGGGATTCAAAGTGTCAATCCTGCAGTTAACAGTTTAACGCTTAGCCCACCGCACCACGAGGGCCCTTGATGATCCAGAGTATTCCATTTTCTAATATTAAATCGAACACTCTTTGCTGAAATAAATATTCCAATATTAAATCAAACCTTCATTGCTGGAATAAATCCACTTGCTGTAACATCTTTTGACAAATAGTAGTTTGTGGTTTAGGGCTTTGGTTTCGACAATACAAAAGCTTTTCTTTTCTGAGACTTTGAAATAATTCAGATAACACTGACAGTCGGCTTCAAAGATATAAACTAAGGGAGAAGGACAGGTAGGCAGTCTCGTCTCATAAAGATTTATAACCTCAGAAACCCTTGGAGAGTTGTTACAAGTCACTTCACAATAGTGAGGTTGGTTCTGACTATGTAAAATGAAACATTTTTCTTTTTCAATAATGTGAATACATTATATATTCAAAATATTAAATTATAAAAATTATAAAGATAAATCAATACTAACAATCCATTTTTATGGAAGAACACGGCATGTCTTAATGTAATTATGGACCTACCATCAACAAAAATTAAACTGATTTCAATCACAAAACACTAGTTTCTTCTAACCTTTTCTTTAGCACTTACCTTGAAGGGAATCCAGTTTTGCTTTAATTAGCATCCTTAACCTTGCTATTTCTTGTCTTTTCAGTTCATCTAGCTTTGTCCTCACATGGTGACTTACTAAATCCAGCTCTTTGCTTAGCCTTCCACTCTGTGAACAAAATTAGTTTTATCATTACTTTCTATCTTATAGACCAGATATAATTTTAAAAGGGATGTAAATGTGATAAGCAATTTTGACTTTAGATAAGTTTGCTATCCCAGGTATTATATTACTTTCAGAAAAGATTCTATTTGTAATTCAAAAAATGAAGATGTACAATTTAGAAAAGTATAATTAATGCACAAAGGAGGTGTGTAAAAAGTAATTTAAATTATAAAATAGTTCAACCACTTTAGAAAACCCTTTGGCAATTACATACCAAATGATTCCACCATTCCATGTTCACACATATAAAACTTGAACATGAATGTTCATAGCAGCATCATTTACAATAGCCAAAAAGTAAAAACTCAAATGTTCACCAACTGATAAAACATGTAGTATATTCATATAATGGAGTATTATTTGCCATAAAAAGGTGTGAAATATCATACTTTCTGTGTATGTATGAACCTTTAAAATATGCTTAGTGAGTGCTCACATCGACAGCACATATACTAAAATTAGAACAATATAGAGAAGATAAGTATGGCCCTGCATAAGGATCATGAGCAAATCTGTGATACGTTCCATATTAAAATATATATATATTTAATGAAACAAGCCATCTACAAAAAGCTATGGTATTGAATTTATATGAAATGTGCAAACATCTTGCATAGGGACAAATATCTTCTAGCTGGCTGGCCAGATAGTTGTCTTCCAAATTTCTTGGCTTAGAAAAGTGAGCATATCTAGGTCTGCACCTGTATGCTAAAATACTGCAATTGTTGTTGTTAAGTGCCATTGAGCTCATAGTGACCCTATGAACAAGAGATTTGAATCCTGTTCTATCCTGTGCCGTCCTCACCACCTCTGATACATTCAAATTCATTGCTAAACAGAAGATTTCAAAAGGCATTTTGAGAAGCCAAAGCAAAGTATTATAATGAAATGTGCAAAGATCTGGTGTTATAACACTAAAAGGGAAGAACACGCTTGACATTTCTCAAGGCACAAGGACTGAAGGAAAAAATGCAAGTTTTGAGTTGCAATGCTGAAGGACTCTGTGAGCAAACTGTTGAAAGAAGCAGGAAGTATCAAAAGAAGATGTAAGAGTCATTGTACCAAAAGACTTGGTCAACATGGAAACATTCCAGGAAGTACCATATGATCAATAAGCAATGGTAATGAAGGTTGAAGCCCAAGCTGCACTGAAGGTACTGACAAACATGAGGCTCTCAGAATTGATGCACTACCAGTTGAGGTACCAACACCCTCTATATTCAAGAGCAAGTTTCAGAGTCTCTTCTAACATCCATTTTGCCTTTTTCTTTCTTTTTTTAAAAATTTTTTAAATTTTATTTTATTATTTTCTTTAATTATTTTGTGTGTACCGTCAAACCAGATCTGACTGGTACAGGAGGAAATAGCCCCTCCTTCTCCAGCAGAGCAACTGGTGTATTTGAACCGCACACCTCTGAGATTGCAGTGCAGCTTCTTGCCAGTAGGCCACCAAAGTTCCCTTTCCTTTTTCTTTCTTCATGTTGTTGTTGTTGTGTGTCGTCAAATAGGAAACAAACTCATAGCTAATCCTCCAGCAGGTTTTCAGAGGCAGTTAATAGCACAGGAGGAGACTGCCCATCCTTCTACTGTACAGCAGCTGATAGATTCAAACCGTGTTACATCTGGATTGTAGCGAAACTTCTTACCACTGGGCCTTCAAAATTCCCTATGACATCATTAAGATCATCTGGTCTTCAGTCATTGATGTTCACTGCATCAAATCTATTCTTCAGATGGTCTCTAAATTCAGATAGTATATATCCTCAAGTTATATAAGTGTTATACAAGTGTTCAGGTCTTTCATTCATAGGGTCGCTATGAGTCATCTACGACTTGACAACGCTTAACAACAACAACATAGAGAGCTCTGTTAGCCTAGTGGATAGAAAGTTATGTTATGAAGCCAAAGGTGTGTGATTTTAATCTGCAGCTCTCGGGCCTGGTTTTACTTGATTTTGGTCAAATATTCTTCTAAGTGGCATATCACTGGTCTGTCCATTTGCTGTACAGAGGTAACTTGTGGTTGCTGTGATGCTAAACACTGTGACACTGATGCGTCAAATGCAATAGTGATTACCCTTGGTGGACAGAGTTTGGTGGAGCTCCCTGATTAAAACAAGCTTGGAAGCAGGAGTGACATCCACTTCCAAAATAGCTTGCCTCCGAAAACTCTATGAACATAGAGAAACTATGAAAGTTATACAAGTATTCAGGTCTTTCGTTCATAGGGTCGCTATGAGTCATCTATGACTCTACAGTATTTAACAACAACATATACTCAAGGCATAATTGAGGCTCCGTGAACTTGGTTTTGTTTCACTTTTTTTGCAGGGTCACCCATGATGGACAAGTTTCAGTAGAACTTCCAGAACTAAGACAGATTGACAAGCACTTCTGAAAGAATGAGTCTTTGAAACATTCCATTTCTAGATATGATTCTTCTTACAGGGTTCTTTAATTGGGACTCATTGGGAATGAGTCCAATCTTTTATCTCTAGTACTTAGCTAAGTGTCTGGCATGCTCAAATATCTGTTGAATAATTATTTACATTTACCTTTATTTCCTCTATGTCGGCTTTCTGGAGCTTTTCTCTGAAGTGTTTATCTGTTTCCAGCACATCAATCACTTGTTTCAGATATTCATCATAATAAAGTCCAGTATCCTTTAAATTAAAAATAAACAGGAATGTTTCTAAAATTGGTCTTTCTCTGCATCTAAAGATCTCAATTCTAAAAAACAATTTCTAACAAAATGACATTAAGGTGGACCTATTTTGACAGAGAGAAAAAAGCTGTATTCAGAATTTTGTCAGAGTAAAAAAAAACAACAAACAACAAAACAAACCTATATTCCAAAATCAAATGAAGAGTTTTGTACCAGAAATAATATATGTTTAACTGAGTATACGTCTGTCTCAGACAATGAAGACTTAACCAATTACATTGTTTTCCACCCTCTCCTATTGTTACCTCTTTCCTTATTATTTTCTGCCTCTCCTTTGAGTATAACTTAATGTTTTCTCAGCTTTTTAGCTATGTTAGAAACATATTATGATTAAATTTTATGCATTATCTAAAAACTATTCAAAATATATATAAATATTGAATAATTATTAAATAAGTATTATCTAACTTCAAACAATATAGGTATATTTAGTACTCCTTTCATTTTCTTCCAAAAACAGTTCCTAAATGTCTAATTGTATAAGTATAGGCAGTATTTTGCTATAATGACTGCCACAGAATTATTTTTATCATTTCACTTACTGGTGGTTCTATCTTTTCATTTTCCACAGGTTCAGTATTTTTTACTTTTGTCTTATCTATGTCTATAGGCACAGCTTCAAAAACAGCAAGTAGGCATGTAACCAAGAGAAAACAGTACTGTGATGGGATTGTCCTCCACCTCATCTGAAATAAAAGATTAAAGTTATGAAATTATTCTTTAAGAGTATGTATATATGCATTATTTTTCAATATTTTTCTTGATTGTCATATAATAATATTTTACAGTATGTTTCATTCATGTACATTGTATTATGCAATTTTTCATTTTACACTGGGTTTCATACAATCATATGCATTCTATTTACATTATTTTTATATGCATTCTTAAAACCACATTAATAATATATTCACTATCAAGAAGTTTAATAAAAGAATCCTAAGGGAGAGGTAAAAAGAGTGTAACTTTTAAAAATTAAACTTAAAATAGGTAACTAAATAAAATCAAGAGACAAATATTTTTCAGTCAAAATTTAAAAGGTTGTTGTTGTTGTTGTTATGTGCCATCGAGTCGTTTCCGACTCATAGTGACCCTATGCACAACAGCTGTAAACCCTGCTCTATCCTGCGCCAACCGCACCGCCTCTGACACACCCATCCCGATTACCCCAGTCATCGAATCAATCTATCTCATAGAGGGTCTTCCCCTCCTGCGCTGTCCCTCCACCCTCCCAAGCATGATGTCCCTCTCCAAGGA